GTTGGTGTAGCCACGCCTCTGGGGACACGCCATCCCTCAAACGCCTGCAGATGAACGTGGATCCTTGTTGTCGAAGCCGCAACAGCCCTGGGGTGTGCAGGAAGCTCATTATCCAAAACAAAGATGATCCGGTGTCGCTCCCCCTCTTCGTGGAGGAGCAACACAGGACCCTGCGCTGTTCTTTTCGTCTGCTCGGCCCTCCCCGGGTTGGCTGCTGGTTCTTCCCGGGTTGGCTACTATCCCTTCCACCTCCGTGGAAGGGCAGTTCCCCCTGGCCACATTCCCCACTTCCGCAGGGGAGCGGCACACCGCCGGCCGGCTCTTCTCGGGGGCTGCACAGGTGTTCCTTCAGCTAGATGTTCCCCTTAGATGTTCCCTGGTGCATGCCGTCTCTCTCCTCCTTTATAGTCCTCCTCCGCCAATCCTAACTCGGCTGCCCACACGCCGAGTACGCTGCTCTCCTCCAATCAGGAGCAAGTCCTACAGTTTATTAGCTGAACTGGAGGCAGCTGTGCGGAAGCTGTTTACTTCTCTCCCAGCGCCATATTGTGGGAGAGCAGATGCATAGAATAAGTCTTAATTCCAGTAACTCAGTCCAGTCCAGGCTGCTCCCCACAATCCGGTGCTTGGACGAGCCCGTGCTGATCTATTACTGTTGTTAACTCAGCTCCGTAGTTCGTATCAGGTGCGGTTTCTGTGCTGTACATCGTGTGAGTCTCAGCAAAACCAGAATGACCTGAGTTCACCAGGACGTAAGCACGTGCGAGGTTTACCGCCCTCCAAAGCCCCTGCGCTCCCCTCTGCATCTCTCCCTCCCTCCCCCCATAGCCATGTAAATCATTGGCTTTTTTGTCTCCAAGAATGTCACGTGGTTGGAACTACACAGCAGGTAGTCTTTTCAAGTTGCCTTCCTGCACCTAGTGTGCTAAAAAAGCAATTATTAACAGACCCAAATATATTCTGTGCCTCTATGCTTTATAAAAATAAGAACCCAAAAGCATATAAATTAAAATTATTAATTAATAATTAATTATCATAATATGATAAAATGTAATAAGTAAATAATGTTCAACAGTATTTATAGGTTGTTTTCATTTTTCATATATAAGAAATCAACTAGGGTGGGCTTTTATTTACAAAAGATTTATTTTTTATTTATTTGAAAGACACAGTTACACAGAGAAGTAGAGTCGGGGGGAGAGGGAGGGAGAGAGAGAAAGAGAGAGACAGAGGTCTTTCATCTGATGGTTCACTCCCTAGACGGCCACAATGGCCAGAGTTGAGCTGATCCGAAGCCAGGAGCCAAGAGCTTCTTCCAGGTCTCCCACGTGGGTGCAGGGGCCCAAGGACTTGGGCCACCTTCCACTGCTTTCCCAGGCCATGGCAGAGAGCTGGATCAGAAGTGGAGCAGCCAGGATGCGAACTGGTGCCCCTATGGGATGCCGGTGCCTCAGGCTGGGGCTTTAACTCATTGCACCAAAGCACCGGTCCTTAGGGCAGGCTTTTAGCACAGTGGCTTAAGTCACTGCTTGGAATACCCACATCCCATACTGCAGTGCCTGGTTCACAAGCTGGCTGCTCATCCAGCTTCCTGCTGATGCACATCCTGGGTGGCGGCAGATGATGGCTCAAGTGCATGGGGGACCCATAGGAAGTTCCTGGCTCCTGGCTTCACCCTGGCCCAGCCCTGGTGTTGCAGGTGTGAACCAGCACATAGAAGAGCAATCTCTCTCTCTCTCTCCCTTGCTCTCACTCTCGCTCTCTCTCTCTGCTTATTTCTCTGTATCCCTCTCTCTGTCTCTCTGTCTTTCAAGTAAAATGAAAAGAAGTAAATTTTGGGGCTAGCGTGGTGGCATAGCGGGTAAAGCTTATTTTCCTCTATTCTATTTTGTAATGTATTTACTTATTTGGAAGGCAGAGTTAGAGAGTTGGGGAGCAACTCAGACTAGACTAAGTTACTGGAATTAAGACTTATTCTATGCATCTGCTCTCCCACAATATGACGCTGAGAAGGGAGAAACAGCTTCTACACAGCTGCCTCCAGTTCAACCAATTAACTGTAGGACCTACTCCTGATTGGAGGAGAGCAGCGTACTCGGCGTGTGGGCAGCCGAGTTGGGATTGGCGGAAGAGGACTATAAGGGAGGAGAGAGACAACATGCACCAGGAACATCTAAGGGTAACATCTATCTGAAGGAACACCTGTGCAGCCCCCGAGAGAGCCGGCCGGCGGTGTGCTGCTCCCCTGCGGAAGTGGGGAAGGTGGCAGGGGGCCCGCCCCTCCACGGAGGTGGAGGGACAGTAGCCAACCCGGGAAGAACCAGCAGCAATCCCGGGAAGGGCCGAGCGGACGAAAGAACAGCGCAGGGTCCTGTGTCGTTCCTCTACAAAGACGGGGAGCGACACCATCTACTGGTTCACTCCCCAAATGGCTGTAACAGCCAGAGCTGGGCTGATCCAAGAAGAAGCCAGGAGCTTCTTCCAGGTCTCCCATGTGGGTGCAGGGGCCCAAGGACTTGAGCCACCTTCTACTGCTTTCCCAGGCCACAGCAGAGAGCTGGATCAGCCAGGACTTGAACCCATATGGGATGCCAGCACAGCAGGTGGCAGCTTTACCCTCTATGTCGCAGCACTGGGCCCCGCCCTTCTCCTCTTTTCGTATGTCAAATCCACTTGTTTTCATTGAGCTGTTTTTAGTGGTTGTCCTACATGGAGCGATACCTGATACGAGTGGGCCAGAGAGTTGCCTAGGAGAGCACATGGAAGGAGGACAGAGAAGGACCCATAAGCAAAGTCAGCAATCAAAGGGCACTCCCACGTGGTCAGTGCCTGTTGCAAGACAGAGGGTGGCCCGCTAAGTGAGTATACAAGCAGGGTGGAGTTTAGCATGCATGAGGCTTCCTGGTGCCTCCATGTGCAGCTTAACTTCCTCATGGCCATCATGGCATCTCCTCCTTCCTGGTCTTGAGCGAGAAACAGGTGCACTATGGGAATGCAGCCACACTGGTTGGACAGGCAAGAGGGTGGGGTTGCAATGCAGCACTACAGAGAAGTTATGGAGAAAAAAAACCTTCCAGCTTCATTTATTCCTACCTACCTCTCTACTGAGCTCCCCCCTATCAGTAAGGTAAAAACTTCCTTAAAGCTTTGAAAATGTTCAAGAAGGATTATGCTAATTTTATCCCAACAAGAGGTTATCAGAGGGTGGGGCTATCTGTAGCTTGATTTGTGAAATCCTCTAGTCCATATAGGTCTGTGTCTTTTTTTTTTCCAGTTTGACAGGTAAATGTTGTATCACCTTCATTATGGCCTTTACGATTTATTACAATTGTTATTACAGTTACTATGATTTTATTGTCCACTCCTGACTTCCTCATAATTCCGGCTACCTTCCCTTCTGATTCACAGTCTGTCTCTTCTTCCTTATGCAAATTCCAGATACTAAATTTTCCTCACTGATATCAAGCATTTCTTCTTTCGAGTGAATTTTAGAATAAGCTCCATAGGAGCAAAGATCTTTGTTCGTGCATGACGTAGCTCTTCATCTGTGCAAAGCCTTTTCCTTCTCAGTGAAGTTTTATAGGTGTTAGTATGGCCTGCTCACTTAACGTTAAGTCTGGCAGCGTGACAAGCACTGGATAGGTGTAACAATCAAGACTTAGAGCAAGCAGTAGGTAACGTGAAATGCCTGTTGGCCCAACAGGGAAGAGGAGGGCCCGGACTCAAACCCTGGGTCTCCAAGCCCCAAGTTCAAGGCCAGCTCTCTGCCTGTGACCTTACTGTGCCAGCCTGAAGAAGAAAAATAAGTGCCTGTCTTTCCTATTTTGGCGGGGTGGGGGGGTGGGAGTCATATTCAGCTGAGGCCTGGCACTGTTCTGACCTCTGCAGAGGGGGAGGTGTCTTAGTCCATGCCCGCTGCTATAACAAAACCCCACCGCATGTGCAGTTTACAAATAACATAGCTTGACTGCTCACAGTTCTGGGGGCTGGGGCGTCCCAGGGCAATGTGCTGACGGGCGTGCTGTATGGCAAAGGCTCTTTCTTCATGGACGGCACGAAGATCCCTCCAGCCCTTTCACAAGGCTGCGGAACTCCTCCAAGAGGGCGGAGCTCTCGGGTCTAATCATCCCCTGAACTCCTTACCTCTCCGTACTGTTGCCTTAGGGGTGCAGCTTCGACAGTCGACAGGGGATACAGAGCTGCAAACCCTAGTATGAGGTCAACCCTCCCTGTTCTGTTTCAGTTTGCAACGAGCCTAACCCAGTTCTGCCTCGGTTGTCTGCACCAGTCCTCGCCTTCCAGCCATACACCTACCCTACTAGAACTTCCAGAAGGCGGCTCGCTGGGATCAAGTAGTTTGCACTCTCTGCAATCCCCAAGCACACATCTGGGGCCTGGACTGTTCCCATGACAACAGCATTCTGCCACCCACTCCCTTTGTCCTTGGGTCCAGGACCAGCCTGCAAGGCGGGGGTGGGGGGCTGGGGGGTGGGGGGCGGCCGGTGGGACACAGGAGCAGTTGTTGGAAACAGCCTCTGTGAAGACAGCTCGGCCTCCTTGAGGAGGGGCAGAAAAGGCACGATGCCACTGGCAGACCAATGGGACTTGAGAGGAGCCCACCAAGATCATCTCCAGTCGTCCCCTCCATCGCTGGAGTCGTCTTTTGGGGAGCAAAAGCCCTACAACCCTGCGAAGGCGAAAGCCAGAGAAAAGCTGTGTGTGGGCGTGGCCAGCACGTTGAACCTGCCAGGCTAGTGAACCCTGCAGTGACACTGCGATTCTGTAACGTAATATGGACAAGGAAGCAGCCTCAGGACCATCAAACAGCTTGCCTGAGATCAAACAGCCAGTCTGCCCGGGGCCTGGGTGGCTCCTGGTTCTGCCAGACTGCAGCCCCTTTACCCTGTACGGCTACGCACCTCCCTTCTCCTCTCCACCCCCAAGATCTCCGGCCAGGCCTCTCCCTCCCCGCACAGCACACAGGCCCAGGCACTCCGAGATCAGTCACAGTTACTTTTATTAGAATCAGTCTGCTAAAGACGGAAACAGGTGCCATTGGGCGGATTTCAGCCTCAGGTGTGGAGAGGCAGGAAGTAGGCCTCAGATCGCGAGTGGAGACGTCGGTGGCAAAGATTCGTCCTCACACAGGGCTCAGCTTCGTCACATTCAGTGTGCTTATTCCTTTGACCTTGCTGGTGGTGACAGTGCCCTGGGACAGAGTCAGAGGAGGGCTTCAGGGGCTGGCATGGTGGCACAGCAGCTTAAGTCACTGCTTGCGACACCAACAACCCATATCAGAGAGCTGGTTTGGGTCCCGGCTGCTCGGCTTCCAGTCCAGCTCCCTGCTAATGCACCTGGAAAGGTAGCAGAAGACGGCCCGAGTACTTGGATCCCTGCCACCCGTGTGGGAGACCTGGATGGGGGTCCTGGCTCCTGGCTTAGGTCTGGCCCAGACCTGGCTGTTGGGAATATTTGGGGACTATGAGTATTGATTCTACAGAAATAAAAACTATTAGAAGAGAGGCCAGCATTTTGGCACAGCAGGTAAAGCCACCGCCTGCAGTGCCGGCATTCCATATGGGCACCAGTTTGAGTCCCGGCTGCTCCACCTCTGATCCAGCTCCCTGCTGATGCACCTGGGAAAAGCGACAGAAAACAGCCCAGGTGTTTGGGCCCCTGCAGCCACATGGGAGGCCTGTATGAAACTCCTGGCTCCTGACTTCGGCTTGGCTCAGCCCTGGCTGTTGTGGCCATCTGGGAGTGAACAGTGGATGGAAGATCTCTATTTCTTCCTCTCTCTCTCTCTTTCAAATAAATAAATAAATCTTTAAAGAGAGAGAGAGAAGGAGAAAGAAACCAATGTAAGGGGCAGGCATTTGAGCCAGCAGTGAAGATGCCCAGTCCCATAGCCCAGTCCCCGGCTTCAGGGTCCGGCTCCTGTCCTCACTGCAGCTTCCTGCTAATGCAGAGGGATCAGGTGATGGGTCCCTGCCACACACGTGGGAGACCATGAGTTACTAACTTCCGGGGGCCAGTGCTGTGGCACAGCGGGTTAACACCCTGGCCTGAAGCGCCGGCATCCCATATGGGCACCGGCTCGAGACCCGGCTGTCCACTTCTGATCCAGCTCTCTGCTATGGCCTGGGAAAGCAGTAGAGGATGGCCCAAGTCCTTGGGCCCCTGCACCTGCGTGGGAGACCCGAAGGAGGCTCCTGGCTCCTGGCTTCAGATCGGTGTAGCTCCGGCCATTGCGTCCATCTGGGGAGTGAGCCATCGGATGGAAGACCTCTCTCTCTCTCTCTCTCTCTCTCTCTCACTCTCTCTGCCTCTTTTCTCTCTGTGTAACTCTGACTTTCATATAAATAAATAAATCTTTTTTTTTTTTTTTAAAGAGTTCCTAACTTCCAGGCCCAGCCTGTCTCAGCCTTGGTCCCTGTGGGCATTTGGGGAACGAACCAGTGGATGGGAACATGGGAGAATAGGATCTTTCACTCACTCTCTCTCTCTCTGCCCCCTTTCTCTCTCCCTATCCCCTTTCCTGTCTCCTTCCTTCTCCCCTCCCTGCTTCCATCTCTCCCTAATAAAATAAAAACCAACGCAACAAACCGGAAGCCTCACAACCAGCATCCTTGTTCCTTTGCAGCTGAGTTCAAGGGTCAGAGATCACCTTGACGGAATGGAGGGCTGAAATGACAGGCCAGCCCCGAGACAGCCCTGACCCCTGACGCCATAGCTGTGGAGTAGAGTGCGCGCTGCGAGACCCGGACCCCAGCACGTGCTCTGCTACCACGGCCGCTGCTCACACCTCCCTGAGATCCTGGGAGCATATTTGCAATTTGCCTTAGGGAGAGAAAACGCTCTCCCAAGCTCTTCTTGTGTAAAATAGCTTGTTCAACATGGACATGGGAAAAACACACAACTGGTATTTGGAGCCTTTTACACCTGGAGGGGCCCTGGGAACTATGGGCTATCACGGGCTCACAGGACGAGACCGCCAGCCTCACCCAGCCTGAAGGGCTGCCGGGGAAGCTCCGGGTGGGGAGACTCCAGGTGGCAACTTCTGGAACTCGTGCCCGAGCCCAGGAATCAGGCCTGTCCAGAGGAGTACACACACTTGTGTGTTCACGGGTTGGAGGGGACGCTACGGCTTACTAAGCTGGGAGAGGGGTGGGGTGGGGTGTGTGCTAGACCGCAGCCATTTTGCACACGCAGACTGCGTGTGGGCGGGTTCTCAGGCTACCTGTCCCCTGGACTTCTCCCCGCTTCCCTGGACGCTTCCGTCACGCGTTCTGGGTTGCTTGGTGATTCTTTGGAGCACCCACTTGTCCTGAAATCTCACGTTCTGGAAGATGGCCGGCAAGTCCATCAGCCTCTTGTCCCACATGTACTCAGGGGAGAGGACCTTGGTGGGTTTGTGGTAAAGCAGGTACTTGTTCAAGTAGCTCTCCTCACGCCACACAGCCTCAACGTGGCGGGCTTTGTCCCTCGCCATGGCCTCGTGACAGGCTGTGGCGAGCTTGTGAACTTCCAGCACTGAACCCCCAAATAAAGCCTCTGTGTAATAGAAGTCCCCCTCGCCGAGCGGAACGTGGGCTTGCGACTGGGGCCAGCGTTCGTAGGCAAAGGTGTCCCGATGGCGCCCAAAGAAGACAGGGTGGATGGTGCCGAACAAGGCGGAGAGGATCTCCACGCCCACGTGCTCCTGGAAGGTCACGTCCACGTGTGCGCACACCAGGTAATCCACCTCCTTGAAGAAGTGCAGAGAAGAGAAATGGCTGAGTATTTCCATGCGGGGTCCGGAAACCTCCCGGCGGCCGGCGGGGGTCGGGACCTCCAGGATGGCCATCTGCCTCCCGGCTCCGAGCCGGATGGGCGGGACGCCATTGGGCTGATCGGTAAAGATGTAGTATTTCACCCTGTGTCCCACCATGAAGTGGGCCTCTGCCGTCTCCAGGAACGGCTTCAGGAAGACCACGTACTTCTTCACGGCAAACGAGGCCAACCCAACGGTGACATTCTGGAGCCAGAAGTGCTCATTGAGTATCTCAATGTTGAAAGTCTCTTCCCACACAATTGGAGCTAACCAAGGTGTCTGGACAAGGACATCCTCCTTAGAAAACAGTAGCAGGTTTGGCTGTGGGTACACCAACCTTGATACGTTCACGACTTCCAGGTGGTTCATTTCTTTAGCAGCCAGACTGGGCCTGGCCAGAGTGTCTTCCAGATTCTGGCTTCTCGGTGCCAGGAAGGTACAGCCCAAGGAGGTCAAGACAAGGGCGAGGAGGAGAAGGCAGATCACATAACGAAAGGAGTGGGATTTTGATTTCTCCAGATGTGTCCGAGGCAGCTGGGCCATGGTTCTTGGGGTCTCCTCCCGGCTGGGAGGGCAACCTCTCCCAGGCAGGGGGAAGCCAGACCTGAGGCCCAGCGACATCTGAGCCTGCCCACACAACCTGCTCATCCGGTAGCCCCTGGAGCTCTCCAAGGCCAATCCTGGGGCCAGCTGAGGGTGGGTTAGAGTCCCAGGAGAACTCCACGAAATCCAGTTTGGCTTTGAGGTGCTGTCAAGGTGGTCCGGTGGTGGCACTCAGTCACCAGCCAGCTAGAAGGTAAGAACCTGAGCGGAGGAGACACTAGGAGTCCTGAGAGAGGCACAGGAGGCGGCAGCAAGGGAGGGGGCCACAGAGCAGGTCAGGGGCAGAGATTGTGATGAAATGAAAGCTGGGCAGGGACCACCAGGCAGGCTGACCGAGGGCTCGGACGCTGCTGCCCTGGCCCGCCCGCGGCACTCAGCAGCTGGGAAACCCTTCCAACTGAGACCAGACTGCCTCGGGGGGCATGTGCAGATAGGCCGCGTGGGTCACCATGGGAGCCATGGCGGAGGGTGCGGGTTAATGTTGGCTTTCTTTTATTCCCCTAATCGTCACTTACAGTTCACTGAGCACTAACTTTTCAGGTGTTGAGCTGTTAGGATTACACTGCTACAGTTAATGTGCTTTATCCTGTTAAATCCTCACAGAAAGCTGGCTTCTCTCGTACATTCTGTTGGTCTACGGATCTGTTGTTAATGCCAGTATTATACTGTTTGATTACTTCTAATGCAGTAATATAATTTTATTTTAAAAAGTAGTTGTGTTTTATTTTTTCTTTTTTTAATATTTTATTTATTTATTTGAAAGAGTTACACAGAGAGAGGAGAGGCAAAGAGAGAGAGAGAGAGGTGTCTTCCATCCAATGGTTCACTCCCTAGTTGGCCACAACGGCTGGAGCGGTGCCGATCTGAAGCTAGGAGCCAGGAGTTTCTTCCAGGTCTCCCACGTGGGTAGAGGGGCCCAAGGACTTGGGCCATCTTCTGCTGCTTTCCCAGGCCACAGCAGAGAGCTGGATCAGAAGTGGACAGCCGGGTCTTGAACCAGCGCCCATATGGGATGCCGGTGTTTCAGGCCAGGGCGTTAACACACTGTGCCACAATGTCGGCCCCTAGTAATATAATTTGAAACCAAGAAATGTGGGGTCTCCAACTTGGCTTTTCTGTCTCATTCTACTTTGGTTATTAGTAGTCTTTTGTGGTTCCCTTTGAAAAGGTGCTAGGAAACTTGAATATCCACGTGCAAAAGAATGAAGTTAGATTTTAGGTTACAACATACACAAAAATGATTCAAAATGGATCAGAGATCTAAACCTAAGAGCTAAGGGCTGACACGCCTAGAAGAAAACATAGAATGGAGCTTCATGGTATTGGATTTAGGCAATGATTACCTAGATGATACTGAAAACACAGGCAACAAAATTGAAAATTAACAAAATTAAAAATTTGGATTTCGTCAAAATAAAAAACTCTTTATCCATCAAGGAATACTAGCAAGAGAGTGAAGAGACAACTGACAACTGATGGAATAAGAGAAAATACCTGTAAGCCATGTATCAGAAAAGGATTTATATCCAGAATATATGAAGGAGCCCTAACCTCAGCAATCCAACATGCAAACCAGCCACTGGAAAAACGGAGAAATGAATTGAATAGACATTTCTTCAAAGAAAACATACACATGGCCCAGAAGCACGTGAAAGGATGTCCAACATCACTTCTCGCTAGAAACATGCAGATCAAAATCCACAATGAGACACCCTCACTGGGCTGGTGACTAAACACAGCAGGGGCATTTGCCTTGGTGGCTGAGACACTGCATTCCGTCTCTGGGCACCTGGGTTCAGTATCCACCTCCCACCCCCGTCTTCAGCTCCCTGTTAGACCAGGCCCTAGGAGGCAGGGCTGGTAGAACAAGTATTTGGCTCCCTACCACCCATATGGCATACCCTAGCCTTGGCTGTTGCAGGCATTTGGAGAGTACACCAGCAGATGGAAGGTATCTCTCTCTTTCTCCCCCCGCTCTTTGTATCTATGTTTGTCAAATAAATAAATCTTTAAGAAATAAATTAATTAGGGGCAGGTGCTGTGGCATAGTGGACTAAGCCCTGTCTGAGGCGCTGACATCCCACATGAACCCTGGTTGTAGTCTGGCTGCTCCTCTTCCGATCCAGCTCTCTGCTATGGCCTGGGAAAGCAGAAGACAGCCCAAGTGCTCGGGCCCCTGCACCCATGTTGGAGACCCAGAAGAAGCTCCTGGCTGCTGGCTTTGGATTGGCCCAGCTCCGTTTGTTGCAGCTATTTGGGGAGTGAACCAGGGAATGGAAGACCTCTCTCTCTGTCTGCAACTCTACCTCTCACTATAAAATGAGTAAATAAATATAATGAACACCCTCAGGTCTGGCATTGTGGCACAGCAGATTAAGTTGCTGCTTGCAATGCCCGTATCCCATGTGGGAACGAGGTACAAGTCCCAGCTGCTCTGTTTCTGACACAGCTCCCTGCTGATGCACATGGGAGAGCAGCGGAAGATGGTCTGGGTGTTTAGGTCCCTGCCACCCATGCGGGAGACCCAGATGGAGTTCCAGCCTACTGGCTTCAGCCTGGCCCAGGCCAAGCTGTTTCAGGCATTTGGGGAGTGAACCAGCAGGTGGAGGATGTCTTGCGGGGGCCAGAATTTTCCATCCACTGGTTCACTCCCTGAATAGCCTCAACAGCCAGAGCTGAGCCAGGCTGAAGCCAGAAGCCAGGAGTTTCTTCTGGGTTTCCGATGTGGGTGCAGGGCCCCAAGTATTTGGGCCATCTTCCACTGCTTACCCAGGCATATTAGCAGGAAATAAATCTTATTTTTAAAAAAAGAATTTTTAAAGAAAATAGACACAAATTGTCTTTGTGAAAAAGGAAATCCTTTATATCCTAAGGCTGTAAACTGATTTTCTCATAAACATTAGTAGCTTTATTTTCAGCATCTGACGTCACTGGGTTTCTGTTTCAAGGGTGTGGGCGAGGACCTCAGGGCATTTTTCCAACATGCTCCCTCCATGTTTTTGTTTTGTCCTCATTTTCCCTCTCGGGGTTCTCCACAAGCAGCCTGCTTCCAAAACTACAGTGACAAGTGTGCATCCACGGTGACCTTCACTGAGGCCAGCGCAAATCCAGGGAAACCTACACAGAATCCCCCTCTCCCCCACCGCGCCACCCTCCGCCGGTGGTCTGCGCGCTTCTGTGCTGGCCTCCCGCAGGCCAGATGACCCTGGGACGCCAGCTCCGTGATTCCCACCTCTGAGTCAAGGGCGGCGCTCCTGGACAGCCTTCCAGGCCCCCCAGCGTCCCTTCCTGCCTGCCTACCTCTGTCCTCTCCTCCACTGCCCCAGCTGGTGACTCCGTTCCAGGGCCACCGGATTGCCCGCTGCTGCTTGGGCTTTCGCAGCACGCGTTCCCGGCACCGGGATACTCTTCTTCCAGATCCTGCTGGGGTTCACTCAGCCGCCTCCTTCAAGGGCTTCTCCCCAGATCTCACCTTCCCATTGCAGCCCACCTGGTCCACCCTGTGTGAGCTGGAACCATCTCTCCCTAACGCCGAGTTCAACTCCCACACACCGCTTTATTCTCTACAGAATCTGTTGATGGTTGATCTGCTAGTAATCTACTCACTTATTATGTTTCTTGTTCAGTTTCTCTTCTCCCATGAAAATGTAGGTTATACAAGCCCAGGATTTTTTTTTCCATTTTTTAAAATTGATGCTACTTCCTAGAATAGTCCTTGGAACACATATTAAATTTTTTTTTTAAAGTTGTGAATAAACTGCCCTCTGGGGGCCGGCACTGTGGCACAGCAAGTTAACGTCCTGGCCTGAAGCACCAGCAGCCCATATGGGCGCCGGTTCTAGTCCCGGCTGTTCCTCTTCCGATCTAGCTCTCTGCTATGGCCTGGGAAAGCAGTAGAAGATGGCCCAAGTCCTTGGGCCCCTGCACCCGCGTGGGAGACCTGGAAGAAGCTCCTGGCTCCTGACTTTGGATCAGTGCAGCTCTGGCCGTTGCAGCCATCTGGGGAGTGAACCAGCAGATGGAAGACCTCTCTCTCTGTCTCTACCTCTCTCTGTAACTCTGTTTTTCAAATAAATAAAATAAATCTTAAAAATAAAACTGCCCTCTGAATAATACCTGGATGTTCCCTAAGTTTATCACACTCCCTACGCTGAACTCACAACATTTCTGCCGAAATGTCTCGAGTGCATGTATCTAAGATTGCCCTGGGTGTGCTGCCGTAGCTTGTCACCTGCTCATAGCTAGTCACCTCCTCCTCCTAATGCTCCGTTACCATCCCTCTGTCTATTCCTCCAGACCAGGAGCAGGCCTCACTGCTCTGACCACTGCAAAGAATCCCCTAAGGCTGTCTGTCTCCGTCCTGGCACTCCTTCAATTCTTCTTCTTAGGTAACTCCAGGAATATTTCTAAAATCTCCATATGATTTTGTCTGTTTTTTTTTTTTCTCTTACCCCCTTCTCATGACTCCCCATTCTTCTGAGCCCATCCTAGGATGCAAGCTTGTTCACAATATGCCCTACTCCACACAGCAGCCACGTCGCTCACTTCAGGCTTCCGTGTCCTGCTGCCGTGACCCTCTGCCTGGAGGCCCACGGATAGAGCGTCTCCTAAGAACAGACTCACTCGCGGGAGATTTGCTTCTGTAGTTGCAGAAAAGCTGCTACAGGCCAGGAGGACCCTGGTTCTCAGGTTCTAGCCTTTCCCAGCATGAACCAAGGTGTTTGTTCCTGCTTTAAAGCTGAGTCCTGGGGCCAGCACTGTGGCGTAGCGGGTAAAGCCATCTCCTGCAGTGTTGGCATCCCATATGGGCACTGGTTCGAGTCCCAGCTGCTCCACTTTCGATCTAGCTCTCTGCTATGGCCTGGGAAAGCAGTAGAAGATGGCCCAGGTCCTTGGGCCCCTGCACCCGCATGGGAGACCCGGAAGAAGCTCCTGGCTCCTGGCTTCGGAATGGCCCAGCTCCGGCCATTGTGGCCAATTGGGAAGTGAACCAGCGGATGGAAGACCTCTCTCTCTCTCTCTCCTTCTCTATCTGTGTAACTCTGACTTTCAAATAAATAAGTAAATCTTTAAAAAAAGAGAGAAAGAAAGAAAGAAAGAAAGAAAGCTGAGTCCTAGCAACACGAAGCTGGTGCCTGGGTTGGTCCCAGAGCACATGGACAGGAAAGCCAAAGTTGGAATGTTACAGGATCAAAACCTCAAAAACCAGTTTTGATGGCCCAAGTACTTGGGTTCCTGCCACCCACGTGAGAAAACTGGATGGAGGTCCTGGCTCCTACCTTCGGCCTGGCCCTGCCTGTTGTGAGCATTTGGAGCGTGAACCAGCAGGCTGGAGACCTCTCTGTCTTTCCCTCTCTCTGTAATTCTGCCTTTCAAATAAGTAACTCTTTAAAAGAGAGGTGGGGGGACCTCCAGCTGGCCGGTGTGAGCTGTGGATGTCGTGGCCTTTGGTGAATGGCCTCATAGAAGAAGTTCGAGTGCTTGGAATGGAAGTTTTTCTTCTGAGGCCCGGGACTGCACTAAAGAAGTGATAGCTCCATTGGTCTCCAAGAACCTGCTGGTGGTGGTGCTGTCCTCTGGCCATGGGTGGCCCTCCCCTGACCCACCTGCCACTGTTATTTTTCACCCTCCACCTGACCTATCCCTTTCCTCCCCTCTCCTAGGGCCTTCCTCTCAGTTTCTCTTGCTCAAAGGTTAGGGCGCGGGGCATTCCGTGTGGGTGCCAGTTCGAGTCCCGGCTGCTCCACTTCCGATTCAGTTCTCTGCTGCGCCCTGGGAGGGCGGTGGAGGATGGCCCGGGTCCTTGGGCCCCTGCACCCGCGTGGGAAACCGGGAAGAGGCTCCTGGCTCCTGATCAGCTCAGCTCTGGCCATTGTGGCCATTTGGAGAGTGAACCAGCAGATGGAGGACCTCTCTCTCTCTCTCTCTCTCTCTCTCTCTCTGGGTGTCTCTACCTCTCTCTGTAGTTCTTTCAAATAAGTAAAATAAATCTTAAAAAAAAAAGGTCTGGGGGTGCGGGGATTGGGTAGCCAAGACCTCATAGCAGGTGGCAGGTGGCAAGCAGGGGAGAGTCTATTCATTGCCCTTCCAGAGGGGCCAGACGGGCTGGAGGCACAAAGCCGACAGCACCGGAAAGCACACTGAGCCGGCCCGTCAGACACCACCTCTTGGAAGGGATGTTGCACCAAGATGTCAGACCGGAAACTGCGGCAGAAGGGCCCTGGCGTGGAGCAGAAGTGAGACACAGGGGCAGCAGGGTGAGCCAGGCCAGGGGTGGTGAGGCCTGTGACAGGGCGGGGGCAAAGCTCGCTGAGGAAGTTGCCAGAAAAAGCAGTTGGTGAGCCGGTGAATTCTCGGAGTAGGGTAGGAAAAACTCAGATCTACTAGATCCTCCGACTCCAGCCGGCCGGAGGCTTGCGAGCCCCGTGGGAGCGCGCGACAGGCATGCGCCAGCCGAGCGCACGCGAGCGCGGGGCTCGAAGTCAAAGCCGCAAACGGCCAAGGGGACGCCCAACGGTCTGGCCGCCTTGGGGACCTCCCGCACTCAGGTGCAGGCGTGTGGCACCAGATGGCCCCCGCGCTGTGTGCCGCTCTTGGGAACCGCGGAGGCCAGGCACCCGCAGAGTGAGCATCCTGGGCGCCTGGCCAGGAGGCGCTGGCTGGCTGCGGCCATCACAGCCAGGGGGTCCTCGGGGCTCCTTCCCTCGGGGGCTCGGGAGGGCAGAGTCTGCCCTGCGCGGGTGAGGGCGGGCGGGAACGGTGCCGGACAAGTGTTGGGAGACGGTCAGCAGGGGGCGCCCGTCGGTGCCACCAGCCCCACCCCCACCCCACGCCTGATCCTGGCGGCACAGGTCGTAGGACACTCACTGTCCCTTTGGACCGCGTCTCTCCAGCTCCTGGGGGGCGAGCACCTTTCGTGTGGCCGCCCGGGAAAGGCGTGAGTCCAGCACCCCGAGCTGGGCTGTGATGGTTTGTGGGGCGCGGCGCTCTCTGCCTGCTGCACCCCAAAGCTTCCCTTCCTGGCCGGCAGTTTACCTTCACACCTTGTTATAAATTTGGTAGAACATTTAAGCCTTCAAAGAAGTGAGTGCCTCAGCTCACAAAGTGACAGTGACGCTGACAGGACTTGCGCCCAGGCTGTCATCCTTGGGGATACCCAAGGCTGCTTCCAAACCTTTGGGGAAACGTGAAATTAAAAGATAAACTCATTTTGGTGCAAAACAGTTTTTAGAATCCATTGATAGCTTTATTTTTTTTAATGTTTATTTACTTGAAAGGTAGAGTAATGGGGAGAGAGAGAATCTTCCGGCCACTGGTTGGCTCCCCAAATGCCCACAACAGCCATGGCTGGGCAGCACTGAAGCCAGGAGCCAGGAACCCCATCCAGGTCTCCTCCACGGATGGCAAGGACTCAAGTATTTGAGCCATCACCTACTGCCCAAGGCTGGGTCAGAAGTAGGGGCAGGACTCGATCTAAGGCACCCCAATATGGGACGCAGGCATTCATACAGCAGCTTAACCCGCAGCATGCAAGCGCCTGCTGCTGTAGCCTTAAAAAAACAAACAAACAAACAAAACAAAACAAAAAAAAAACAGGCAGAGTAGACAGAGAGAGAGACAGAGAGAAAGGTCTTCCTTCCATTGGTTCACCCCCCAAGTGGCCGCTACGGCTGGCACACTGTGCCAATCCGAAGCCAGGAGCCAGGTGCTTCCTCCTGGTCTCCCATGTGGGTGCAGGGCCTAAGCACTTGGGCCATCCTCCCCTGCACTCCCGGGCCACCGCAGAGAGCTGGCCTGGAAGAGGGGCAACCGGGACAGAATCCGGCGCCCCAACCGGGACTAGAACCCAGAGTACCAGCACCGCAGGCAGAGGATTAGCCTAGTGAGCTGCGGTGCTGGCCCGCTGTAGCCTTTTTATAATATTTTCCACGAACTGTTTGAAGACCCCTGAGCACATGGGTTTCACAAGGGCGAATTGTCTTTTCATTGAGTTCTGCAGCAGACCCCAGCCGCTGACTGGGAGCTGTGTTCTCTCAGGTGGAGGCACAGCAGATGGATGCAGGGTCCACCTGTGCCTCCAGGGACGCCGACATCTCTTACAGTGACTCCACGGACCAACTCTCCGAGTCCTGGCCCAAACTGACGGCTTAGCAGCACTGGCTTTTCCAGGCTTAGTCCTTTATGTTTTCTCTCAGTGGTGTTTTATAGCAAGGATCGGCACCAGGGCCTTAGTCCAACAAATGCAGTTCCTAGCTTGTTTGTTATGGTCAGCGAGCTAGAATCACATTAACAATCTCAGAGTTGTAGGACACACACACACACACACACACACACGATATGGGACAGAGACCAAGGCATCCACCAAGCCTATCTGGTCTTTTAGGAGAAAGTTTGCCACCACTGTTTTAAAAATTTACTTCTTTGAAAGACAGATCTTCCATCAGCCGATCCACTCCCTAAACGTCGCTACCACTGTTTTTGTAGTGCTTGTGTATCGGTCTTCCAAAACTTTTGCAAATTCCCAAGTATTCTCTGGGGTTTGTAAATGCTGTTTTAAACGGGATCTTTGGAAGATTTGTTTTCAGCAGTTCGTTGATACTATGCAGATAATCCGTGTGTGTGTGTGTGTGTGTGGACTTTGTACACTGAGAGCTAGCTAACACCACTCTTGACTTACGGTCATTTCTCTGTGGGTCCCTTGGTATTTTTGACTTACACGGTTTGTCTGCATCCCGCTCACTTTACTTCTGTTTTAATCTGCATGCCTTTTATTTCTCTTTATTTCCTCTTGTGCTCACAGGGACGGACAGTCGGCAGGCCCCTCTCCTCCAGGAAGCGCAGCCTGATTCACAGCTGTCTGTGAGTGCGTGCGTCCCCAGTACACGTACACGAGCTGCATGACAGGTGGGTACCAGCCTCGTGCTGGCTTCAAGGGCACAGACATCACTTGTAGTAATTCCATGGTCCAGCTGTTAGGGTCCTAATAAAAACTTGGAATTGGCCAAGAGGAACTTCCCCAACCTTTGAAAATGATACGTGTGTGTATACCTGCACATATGTACACAAGGCATATGTTGTTTTATGGTAGTTTTACCAAGAAAATTTTTTGATGTGTTCGCCTTTGTACTGAAACCTTGCTAACCTCATCTCTTCCTGCAGGTTCTCTGTAGGCTCCACTGGGCCTTCTACACACACAGTCATGTTTCCACACTGAAAGTCCTGCTTCCATTTTAATCTGTGTGCCTTACTATTTCTTCTATATTTGCTACAACATCATAAATATAGAATACAAGCAGAGATAACAGATAGCCTTTTCTAGTTGCTAAGCATCTGGTAAAATTCCTCAGTATACTATCCACTGAAGTTTTTTCATAAATGTGATTTATCACACACATGGAATATTCTCTCCCATTCCTACTTGCCTGGGACGTTGTCTAAGTGGTGTGAAAACCACAGCTACTGAGATTAATCATATGTCTGTCTTCTTTATTTTCCTAATATGGTGAATCCCATTGATCAATGTTATTAAATGTTAAACCAACCTTTGGATTCCTGCGGGAAACCTACTCAGTCATACAAGATTGTTTTATAGTTGGCTGGATTTGATTTACTAAAATATTGTGAGATTTTGTGTCTCTGTTATCGAGGGCTACTAATGTCATTTTCTTGGCAGCTTTTGATATGCAGGCTGTGCTGGCCTTCTAGTATGAATTAGGAAAAGTTGCTTCCTTCTCTGTTTTCTGAGTTTGTGAATGTTTGCTATTAGTTCCTGGGGAAAACCATTCAGACCCACCAGTTTCTCCCCGGGGAGATGACTGTGGCCACATACTGTCCCTTCCGTGTCCCTTAGATCTGTAACACGTTTTTGAATCTTAATCGTTTGTAATCCCAATATTGGTCATTTCAGTTTTCTCTTTTTTATTTCTTCTTCAATATTTATAGAAGTTTTTCAGTTTTACTAAACTTTTTTATTTTAAGACATTTAGTGTTGCCCTAGATTTTCAGGGTCACAGCAAATACAAGATAATTACTACAACACAATTCTCATGCTAATGTGATATTACCATAAAGAGAAAAGATTTAATGTAGTTCATAGATACAATTCTAAGAATATAGTGATACGTCTCTTCTTCCCTTCTTTCCTTTCTCTTCTTTCTTTTTTTTAAGATTGTATTTATTTTATTTGAGAGGTAGAATTACAGACAGTGAGAGGGAGAGACAGAGAGAAAGGTCTTCCTTCCGTTCACTCCCCAAGTGGCCGCAAAGGCTGGAGCTGCACTGATCCAAAGCCAGGAGCCAGGAGCTTCTTCCCAGTCTCCCATGCAGATGCAGGAGCCTAAGCACTTGGGCCATCTTCTACTGCTTTCCCAGGCCATAGCAGAGAGCTGGATCAGAAGAGAAGCAGCTGGGACTAGAACCAGCACCCAGAAGGGATGCCGGTGCTGCAGGCCAGGGCATTAACCCGCTGCACCACAGCACCGGCCCCAAGAGGTTTCTTTATGTCCCAGTTTTGGAGGCTCACAGTTCAGGATCAAGCTGCCTACCTGGCTTGGCTTCTGGTGAGGGTCTTAGAGCAAATAGCATCACCCTGGTGAGAGTACATGCAGAGGAGATCACACAGCAGCACAGAAGGACGGAGGAATTTAGGATCCACACCCACTTTTATGTAGATATAGATGTAGATATAGATATAGATATAGATATAGATACAGATACAGATACAGATATGGATAACAAATCACAGTGACAGGAACCAGCCAGTGCCCCTCGGGAGCTGCGTCAATCCCTTCGGAGGGCAAGGCCATCACCGTTGAATCTCAGAGCCAGGTACTGAATCCACGCATTCCAAGGTGGGGTGCAGGCATCTTCACCACTAGGCTAAATGCCCACCCCAATAGCATTTTCTTGTATTGCTCTTCCAATACCTTTTACATAATTCATCCAGAAAGCTTAATGTTAAAGTAGGTGTGCGCTGGGCAATAGGATGGCTGGCAGTAGTGGGGAGGCACAAAGTAGGAAGATAAAGCCACAAGAAAGCTTGGGTGCAGAAAAGGCTTAGTGACCATATAAGCAGACACGCCTTGACCTTGTCAGAGTGTCTGCTTCAAAACACCTTGACGACTACCACGGAGCTCCAGCTCCTGAGATGGGTGTGCCTGGACTGTGGCTCCTCTGACACAGCAAGTCAGATTCCTGGTCCCTGGAGCAGGCCGGCCAGCAAAGGAAGGGAGCGCCTGGACCTTAGAAGAAGATCCCTTATGGGAGGGGCCGTCCTTGCTCCCCGACCTGACAGGTCCCAGGTGCACCCCCTGCCCCCTAGTGCTTCAGAAACCTGGGGTGACTGCAGATTTGGCTGTGGCAGTTCTGGAAATTCACATCAGTGGGAACAGACTCGGTTCCCTCTTTGTAGGACTTCTTTCGTTCCGTGAATCGGTTCTTTGATTACTCCTGTTTGCTTTGGCCCACTGATGAGTACGAACACACGTTCATACATGCTTACTGAATGTTTTCCTTCTAAAGGGATTGCTCAACTATTTTACCCATTTTTTTGAGTAGCTTGAGGAGTTCTTTACATATTCTGTGTCAGTCATTTGCTAGATAGATGTTTTGCAAATAGTTTTGCCCAGTTGATGATGGCTGCCTACCCATTTTCTGCATTGTAGCTTTTTTTGAACATCAGTTTTAAGTCTTTGTGCTTTCTTAATTTTGTTTATCACTTAAAAACTAGTTTTTTTTAAAATTTTCAATGGAATTCTATTTCTCATGGCTTTTTAAAATTTTTATGATCTTTTAAATCTCAAGAATAACTTTCTATCCTAAGGCTATAAATTGGGGTCTCTCACATTTGCTCTAACACGTGCATAATTTTGAGTCTGTAGTCTGGTGTCCTAAATTCGTTTCCATGGAGGTTCATGGTGAGGGTCTTTACTTTATGTGCAGTGAACACAAGCACACGTGGTCACGAGTCTGTTTTCCCCATTTCTGCTTTCTCAAGTATGCATTCTGAATCGGTCACTTGAGTCCATAGGCTAGTGGCCAAGTACGCCCTGATGAAGCCAAAAGTTTGTCTGAACTCAAATGGCAAGTCCATGCACCACTCTCTGTCTCTCACATACGGTCCTGCCCTGCAATCCAACAGCGAGCACTTCAAAACATATGAGTGTGCAGAGTTCACTTCTCACTGCACCACTGCAGCCATCTTGCCTGTGAGCCATCACTACCCCTCGCCCGGGGTCTTGCTATGATGAAATTCCCGAGGCTGGCTAACTTTGTAAAAATGGGGGGGGGGCGGTATTTTGGTCACAATTCAGCTCTGGTGAAGGCCTTCTAGAAGGAGCATGTGGGAGCCAACGTTGTGGCACAGCCAGTTAAGCCACCACCTGGGATGCAAGCACCCTTTGTGAGTGCCGGTTCGAGTCCTGGCTGCTCCACTTCCGATCCAGCTCTCTGCTAATGCACCTAGCAAAGCAGTGAAAGATGACCCAAGTGCTTGGGTCCCTGCACCCACACGAGAGACCTGAATGGAGTTCCAGGCTCCTGGCTTCAGCCTATTCCAGCCCCTGCCGTTGCGGCATTTATGATGGTTTTCCTGGGTTGTAAAATGTCCCAGAAAACACTGTATTCTTGGTATTGCACAGTCCTACAGCCAGCCAAGACTGGGTGAAATTATAAATCTAGTTATTTTATATTCTTAGTGGCTTAGGCTAGAAACAGACGGGTTATTTTTCCAAACACAACTTAGTTATTTCCCTGAAAGGAGAATCGGTTCTGGTTTTCCAAAGCGTCATGATGCCTGTTACAGTGGATAACAGCGTCTATATGACAGGCACTCTAGGTGGCAATTTTCCCCAAATTGCAAAGCAGGCTCGATTTCTTGCATCCTTTTCTCCTGAGGCTCGAAGGCGTGGATGCCACGCCAGTCCTCAACCGGTGGAGCACACGCGCATGTGTGTGTGTATTATTGGCACAAGTGTAAATTAAAAGAGAAGACACGGAAGCCAAAATGTTCAACACACAACAGGGATGATGTAGCCTAGGGTGGGGTCAGAGTAGCGACGAGGCGCAGAGAGAAGCAGGAAAGGGGGCCGCGTTGCCTCATTCCCCTCCCCCCGAACCTTACCTTCCCGTGGGCCCTCAGCTCTCATTCGGGAAACACAAGCCTCAGAAGTCAGCGCTGGGGCCGGCACTGTGGTGCAGCGGGTTAACGCCCTGGCCTGAAGCACCGGCATCCCCTGTGGGCGCCAGTTCCAGTCCCAGCTGCTCCTCTTCCGATCCAGCTCTCTGCTGTGGTCTGGGAAAGCAGTGGAAGATGGTCCAAGTCCTTGGGCCCCTGCACCCATGTGGGAGACTCGGAAGAAGCTCCTGGCTCCTGGCTTTGGATCAGTGCAGCTCTGGCCGTTGTGGCCATCTTGGGAGTGAACCAGCGGATGGAAGACCTCTCTCTCTCTCTCTCTCTCTCTCTGCCTCTCCTCTCTCTGTGTAACTCTGTAACTCTGACTTTCAAATAATTAAATAAATCTTAAAAAAAAAAAAAAGAAGAAGAAGAAGAAGTCAGTGCACACTCTCGTCAAGTAGGGCTGTTCCCTGGGCCACGGAAACTTTGCACACTTATAACTTTGGCTCAACACATTGCCCCTCCCAGGAAGGTACTTCAAAGAAGTCCATGGTTTATTTTGGTGCAAAATAAAACTTTGAAATCCATGCGTAGTTTTTTCACAGTATGCATTTCCCCTGAATTTTTGAAGACTCCTTGTATGCATGGATTTCAATTTTTTCCATGAAAACCAACTTATTTTTAATTCTGTCTTGCATGAGCATTTTGAAGTCCCTTCACAGAAGTCAAATTTTCCTCTACCAGTGAGTCAAAGAGCAAAAACATACAAGCAGAGAACCAATTAACAAGAACAACGCCATGTGTATGTAGACAGGTGGATGGACAGACCAGTAAATGATGGGTAGAGCCTGGGAAAGAAAAATAGGAGGTAAGAGAAAGGGGGTGGCTACAGCCAGCAGTGTGTGTCCTGACAGTTTTGAGGCCAGAGGAAAACTGGCCCAGAGCTTGGGTCTTTCGAGCTGGGAGTTGAAACCAGAGTGTTGCCTGGCTGGTACTTACAGGTCTCTCTCTTCTCTCCACAGCGCGATGCCTCAAGGCCACCACGTTCGGCCTCATCTGAACCCGCGACCTTCGACACATACACAGACCCCAGAGGCATTGGGCCTGCGGCTTAGCCTTGGAAGACAAAAGGCAGGTTGAGTTTGTTTGACATGACTAGAAGGGGCTGAACCTGCTCTCTGGAGAACAAGATCCATCCGAGGGGGGCCTGTGATCCCCTGGCCATTCCTGGAGGAAACTTTTGCTTTTAGTTGCTGAGATCCTAGCTCTTGCGCTAGAAGAAAATGAATGGGCTGATCCCCCCGTATTTCTGTCCCCAAGGAAACCCTAAACAGGTGGTGAAAACACTGCTTGCCATGCACAATGCACTGCAGTGCCCACTTGATATGATCAAAAGTAGGTTAAAAAATTCCGGAATATCGGATGTTTTCTCAGTCGTGTTAGCCCCCACAAAGTCAAAGGGGGCAGACACCCTGGCCTAGGCCCCAGGGGTTCGGAAGGGCAATGAGAATAGACATGTCTTCCTCCAAGTGTTGTCCTATCCGGCCACAACAGGTGTGCTCTCATCACGAGTGCCCCCAACTGCTCGGAAAGATGGTAGGAACAGAAGTGTCCCCAAACACGAGGTGTGGTGCCGTCACCTCCCATTGCACCACCTGTACTCTGTGGATCTACGGATCTAAGATGCCTTTGTCCAGAGTGGCTCCTACAGTCACGGATACGGCTCCAGCCCCTCCAGCAGCAACAGATGTGCTCAAGCCAAGTGGCCCCTGGGTGTCCGCCAGAAGCTGTGGCCAGCAACGTCTTGAGGTGTGCATGTCTCAGTGGTGCGGCCTTCTCCATTAGTAACAGGCCTGCTTTGGCTTATGGGCCCTCAAGTGCCCAGAGCCATTGCGGGAGGGACAGGCTCTCCATGACAGATACCATGCTGTCCCCTCCCATTGCAATACATGTGCTAGGGACAAGGTGAAGCCAGGTGCTCTGATTGGAGGCGGAAACAGAAGGGCCTCCAAGCACAGGTGTGGTTGCGAGAGACAGCTGCCTCTGTCAGGTGCACCCCAGGTGATCCGACCACAGGCCAGAGCAGGAGTACTCCCACCACAGGCCCCTCCGACTACAACAAATGTGTTTTGGCCAGATGGTTTCCGGGCGATCTGACGCAAGGAAGAACACAGGTGTCTTTGGGCACGAGTCTTTTGCTCAGTGATGGTATGACAGGTGTGCTTTGTTTGGGCAGGCCCCAGCTAGTCTCCCTGGAAAGTTTTGCTCTCGGAAATTCTGGCCAATTGTATGAGAGGTGCTTTATAGGATGGCAAGAACGCCGGTGCACAGGCCTAAGCCTCCCCCAACCTAAGTTGAGATGTTGGGCGTCCCTCTTAGCCCTTTCCTAAAGCCAGACTGCTTTAGACGTGGAGCTGGGCCTGAAGCAGACACACCAGCCAGAGAGCTGCCAGCACCCACGCACGGGACTGCAGGGCCCGTGAAGGCAATGGGACTGAAGCAGGGCTAGCAACGGGTGAGCCATGCCCAGTGCTGAGCATCTCCATGATGACCCCAGAGCAAGTAGTGGCTGCTCGGACCCTGCAGAGCCACCAAGGCCCCGCTGGGCGCTCACACGTATGCCAAAGGACATGGGTGTCAGGTGTGCGAAAGCCTTTTGCCGCCACTGGGTGCCGGAGCTACCGTGGAGATTAAGTCTGGAGCTTGTCCTGAGCCTTCCAGATTTCCCAAAGGGTCAGGGCTACGACAGCTGTCAGGTGAGACTGCCAATGAGAATTTGGGAAGGGGATACGGTAGCCATATCAATTTCAGCAGGGTCAGAGGCAAGCTTGGCTGTGCCGCCGGCCAAGGTTCTGCCTGGGTTCCTGAATATACCAGCGAAAACAGGGGCTCTGGGGAAAGAGATTCCATGACACTGCTCCTTGGACCCCCTAATGTGACTAAAGGGTAATTGCTGGGCTACAGGAGAGGTTCAAAGTGAGGTAGGGCTGCTGACCATAAATGTGGGTTGCATGGTGGAGACACGGACCTGCCCCACGCTGGGATGGACTTGGCCAACCAGGAGGAAGCGCACACTGGCTCCTGCAGGAGGCCAGGAGATACAGGGAAGGTGTCCGTGTCGGTTATGCCCATGTCCCAACCAGGATGGGAGGTTGGGTCCACACACATGCTGACTGCGTGGTGGAAGTGAGGGGCTCAGCCAGTCAGCGATGGGCTGGTCAGTGAAGACTGAGGTATTGGTGTAGGTGAGCGACAAACATAGTAGGCTGCATAAGCTGCTGGGGCAGGGGGTCCCAGCCAGCCTGGCGCGCGGAGCGAGAGAGGGGAAAGCCTGCCAGAAAGTTGTCCATGGAGAGCAGTGTGTGCTTGTCTGACCCTAGAAACAGAACACAGTGTGGACATGGCTCCAAAATGCCTTCTCTTCCAAGACAAGCCATGCACTGTCCCCCCGGACATGTCATTGGCAGGTGCACCGGAGGGGGCTTGTAGGCAAAGGCTGTGAAGAAAAGGCACTACGAGGCAAAGGGCGGGGCCCAGCAGCTTTCCCCATTGGGAATTTCTGGCTCCTCATTTTGGACTCCTCCACCCCACCCCGCTGCCAGTTGGGGGCCCCACCCTAGATGGGAACTGTGAAAGACTGGGAGTGAGCAGTACCAAAAGAAGCGGCTCCACCAAGGACGCCTGCCCGGCAGATCCCTCAGCTCCTGTGCCCGGGGAGGTAGCTTCAGCCAGCAGTGCCCGTGAGCCACTGACTTCCCTGGAGGCACAGGGAATGTTCAGAGCAGGAGCCCTGGATCAACCCGGATCATGGCACAGTGGAGGCCAGCTCGCCGGGGACCAACCAGAGTAAGAGAAACTTGGAGAGGAAAGGAGGAGGCTCTTGTGGGTCCTAGCACCTCTGAGGCCCAGGATGGCAGCTGCAGGACATGTGCTAAGATGGGGGAGAGGGGGTACAGACAAAGCAGTGCAGGGTCCACTCGGCCGCAGCCTCCACGGAGGACAGCTGGTCACTCCCACCCCCTCTGCCACGCCAATGCTGATTCATTCGCCAGGGAGCAGTAGGCCCTCCAAGTCCTGGAGAAAGACAAACCACTTCCATGGCCATGGTTATCACCAGCTGGGCTGCAAGGTGTTTGAAGTGGGGCTGGAGAGCCCCAACCTGCCTGGACGCCGCATCCCTTCCTGCCAGGCAGCTCCTCTCCACTTTCTCCAAGTTCAGAACAACAGTGTGGAAGCCTTGGGAATCTTCCTCAGGCTACCCAGGTGGTCATGGAGATGCCAGGATTTGAACCCAGTCTGTCTGATTCCAGCGTTCATGCATTAACCTCCTGACTGCGGTGCCTCCTCATCACATAGGTGCGTGTCCTTGGGGTAGTTCAACCACGCACACCTGTAATGAACACATGCATTGCCTGCCTGGGTTGACGCCTGCGGTACCCAGACGGCCACCCCGGGCTCTGATGTTCTCAGAAGATGCAGAACACAGATCAGCCATCCTCAGTTCAATGCCCCAGGGCATCTGTCTTCCCACTGAGCCTGCAGCGAACCACAGCTCTGTTTACAGCCCGTCTTCTCCCAGGTGCCAGGGCACATCAGGTGGACACAGGATCCACCCTGGTATCCAAGCCTCCTGTTCCAAGGCGAGATCTCTTGAGATAAATCCCTAACCCTGCTTTCCCTCCAGAAAAAGGAAATGCCCTCCAACACCTGCTTTGCTGACAGTTTTGAAAGGATGCTACATTTTGGCAATTCTCTCACATCTTCGAGACATTCTGATGCCTCTTTTCAGATGGTAAATAACACGGATTTTAATTATTAAGCCAACCTTGCATTACTGGCTCAAATTCTGTTTGGTAATGCTGTATCAGCCTTCTGTATTTGGTTACATTTGGTTTCATAAAATGTTAAAGATTTTCCCGTCTTTACCCACGAGTGATACTATTGTGTACATTTAGTTTGTTTCCATGTTAGAGTTATGCTCATTTCACAGAATGAATTAGGAGAAATTGCCACCTCCTCTACTTTTTGTGAGTTTGTGTATACTAGTAAAGTATCTCTTATATTCTTGATCGAGTTTATCAGGAAAATTACTAGGAGCCATAAATTTCTTCCTGGAAAAGTTTTTATAATCGTTTGTTGTCCTTTTAATATCTGCCAGGCCTGTAGCAATGCCTCCCTCTTTTCCTTGGCATTGGTAATTTGAGTTTTCTCATAATTTTTGAACGTGGTGGACATTCACCAATTTTATTCATCATGAAAAGTCCATGTTTAGCTTTGCTTTCTCTTTTGTATATTTTCTATTTCTATGCTTATAATTGATATTTATGTCTATTTTGTATTAACTTATATTATCTGTTTGGGGGTGGAAATTAAATCATTTTTAGACTTTTCAATTTTTTAATGTAAACACCGCAGCACTGCTTTAACTACATTCCCCAAGTTTTGATTTGCTGTGTTTTCAACTATTATTTATTCAAAATGTATCTACTTTCCTTTATTCTCCTTGGACCTGCTGGTTATGTAAAAGTGTGTTTTGCTTTCTAAATATTTGAAGACTTTTTAGACATCTTGTTGATTTCTATTTTAATTCCACTATGGTCGGTCAGAGAATGTACTATTAATGTGTTCCATCTTCCGACATGTCTTGGAATTTTTTTGACCTAGGATATGTGTATCATCATAAATATTCATGTTCACTTGAAAGCAAATGTGTGTCCAGCTGTTGGATAAAGTGTGATACAAATCAAGATAAATCTTTTGCACTGGTTTTTGTTGTCTGTTGAAGCAGTAAGAGAAAAAGAAACGTTAACATCTCCCATTTTGATTATTATTTGCCTGTTATCCTTTAGTTTGGTCAGTCTTTGCCCGTATATTTTGAAATTCTGTAATTAAGTACATAAACACCTAGGATATTTATATCTTCCCAATGAAAGGTCCTTAAGAAAAGCGTGTGAAGTGCTGCTGTCCAAAACACACTCTTCTGAGCATCAGTTATAAAGACGAGATGTGTGGCCGGCGCTGCGGCTCACTAGGTTAATCCTCCGCCTTGCGGCGCCGGCACACCAGGTTCTAGTCCTGGTTGGGGTGCCGGATTCTGTCCCGGTTGCCCCTCTTCCAGGCCAGCTCTCTGC